AATGCTACGGGTTTTAAAAAAAAACTTGGTGGGGGGACCTTTTCTCTCGCCTTTTCCCTTTTCCCCATTTTTTTTTTTTCAAAAGGAAGTCCGGTTTTGGGGCCCCCGGAGTTAACGGATTTAGGCTCCGGGCGGCACAGGGGTTTTTTTTATCGTTTACTGGTTCCTTTTCGTATTAAAAAAACTTTGTATAGCTACGGCATTCCTTGGTAGCCAGCGTATCTGACTCATTTTTTGTGAATGGAATCACCGCATGGGGCCGGTTGGAATTAGGGGGGCCAAAAAAAGCTCGTCTGCCGGGTTTGGGGAACAAAAAAAGGCAAACTTACAACAAAAAATTTAAAATATACCCTGAGAAATGTCAACCCAGACAAAGGGGAAGCTGCAGTATGCGTCTAGCAGTCCCCCTTGGGGGCCCTGTGTTTAAATTCTCAAAAGAAATTTTTGGTTTAAAAACTGCCCTTTAATCTCAGGTCAGGCAGCCAAACATGGGTGGGGAGAAAATATGGCATGAGTGAGTACAGAAAGCCAACATTATAAGACCATACCTTTGACACAGTGCTGCAGGTCTATGTAAATCATAGCGCTAGTGCCATATACCTAATAGGTCTTCAGATGTGGGGGGAAAGTCCTTTACTGACTGTGCTTAGATATTAACACCTGCTAGTAAGGAAAGGTACAGAAAAGTCAGTACCACCTGAAAATTGGTGGGGGCCCGGCTCTCTAGCGTAGTTGGTTAAATCTGACTTCACGGCAACCGGGTGATGAACTCCTTGTGGTCCGGGTTCGCTCCCGGGGGTAGGCAGAAAAGCCACATTTCTCCAAGATTTACGGTGCCTATCATGGAATCAAGGCCTGAAGGGTTTCAATATCCATAGTACCGAGTCAAGGGGTTAACAACTCATGGTTTCTGGATATTTAAAAAAAAAAAATTGGTGGGGATAAAATAAAAAATATGAAAGAGAAACTATATAAACACACGGACTAACTACTCATGAGATAGATGTTGTGCTAAATGCTAGCAACTTTGGCACATCTGCAGCCGAGATTATCATTCACACACTAATCATGCAAGATGACTGTATGCAACTCTTCAGCAACTTCATCTTGAAGATGAAAATGTTCCAGATTTTCAGTTTCAGTGATGACACTACTACTCTCTGTCTGATCAACAGGTTTCTCTACAAATTCAAAACCTGTAATTGTGTCTTCCTGACAGGGATCATCATCATCAACATCTTTGAGATGAATTTCAATACTGCCTGCTTTGTTTGCAGTGACAAGCTGAGACACATCTTCTGCTGGCTGCTGTGGCATGTTGTTTTCCAGCGAGCTACAAACACAGGTCACATTGTTGTCATTGATAATATTCTCCTCAGTATCACCATACACATCTCTGAAATCTTCAATATTGTCTTCTACATCTCCGCAGGCAGCCACAGAGGAACCAGCTGAACCACTGCCAGGCTTATTATCAATATTTTCCCTCGACAGTTGATCATCAAAGTCTTCCGTGGCCTGGTTCTTGCAGGTACCGGTATAGAGCCTAGCACGCTCTATAAAGCCGTCCAAATAGCTCAGTCGCGGTGGCAAACTCATGCGAGACCAATGGCCTCTGCTGAGTGGGCCTAAATCACTGTGAACAATGCTAAAATCCTTGTCCTCTTGGCATTCAGCTGCAATGCTTTGCTCAGTGAAATCCATGTTGATCAGTTCAACCTGTTGATAAGGAATAACAGATTTACAATTACAAAGTTTTAAAAAAAAGGCAATTATAAAATTGGTTTAGTGGCCTAAGCCACAAACACCAATTAATATAGCTCTGTCTTTGCTGCGTGTATATACCACTTTGTAAAACTGCATGGTACAGGTGGGGGGGGGGGGGGGGGGTCTTAGGATTTAGTACAGTCACCAGGAACTGCAAGTTATGACTGTATTGTTATTCTTTGATGGTCTTAACTTCAAACCTTTCTAAAATCTATTTCAGGAAGCTGAAGATGATTATTTGTGTGCATATGTTTCAGCTGTCCAAACAGTATTGCTCTGTCTTTCTCAATGTGTGCACCATTTTTTCAGGATGTCCGTCCACACAGTATTGCTCCGTCTTTTCTGATGTTGCACATATGTTTCGCAGCTGTCCTCCAGTCATTTGCTTCGTCTTTTCTGTGTGCCATATTTCAGCGTGTCCACACAGTATGTATTGCTATTCTTTCTGTGTGCACAATGTCATCAGCTGTCCGTCCACACAGTATTGCTCCGTCTTTCTGTTGTGCCCACTGTTTCAGCATGTCCACAGACAAATCATTGCTCTATCTTTTACTGTGTGCACAATGTTCTCAGCTGATCCACACAGTATTGCTCTGTCTTTTCTGTGTGCACATGTTTCAGCCCTTTTTTTCCATCCACACAGTATTGCTCTGTCTTTCTGTGGTGCAACATGTTTCAGCTGTCCATCCCACACAGTATTGCTCTGTCCTTTCTGTGTGGAACATGTTTTCAGCTGTCCGTCCTACCCAGTCACTGCTCTGTCCTTTCTGGTGTGCCATGTTTCAGCTGTCCCCCACAGTATTGCTCTGTCTTTCTGTGTGCAGCATGTGTTCAGCGTGTCCACACAATATTGCTCTGTCTTTCTGTGTGCACTGTTGTTTCAGCTGTCAGCTGTCCCCACAGTATTGCTCTGTCTTTCTGTGTGCACATGTTTTTCAGCTGTCCCACACACACTATTGCTCTAATTTTTCTGTGTTCACATGTTTTCAGCTGTCCACACGTATTTGCTATGTCTTTCTGTGTGCACATGTTTCAGCTGTCTGTCCACACAGTATTGCTTTGTCTTTCTGTGTGCACATGTTTCAGCTGTCTGTCCACACAGTATTGCTTTGTCTTTCTGTGTGCACATGTTTCAGCTGTCCACACACTATTGCTCTGTCTTTCTGTGTGCACATGTTTCAGCTGTCTGTCCACACAGTATTGCTCTGTCTTTCTGTGTGCACATGTTTCAGCTGTCCACACAGTATTGCTCTGTCTTTCTGTGTGCACATGTTTCAGCTGTCCATCCACACAGTATTGCTCTGTTTTTCTGTGTGCACATGTTTCAGCTGTCCACACACTATTGCTCTGTCTTTCTGTGTGCACATGTTTCAGCTGTCCACACACTATTGCTCTGTCTTTCTGTGTGCACATGTTTCAGCTGTCCGTCCACACAGTATTGCTCTGTCTTTCTGTGTGCACATGTTTCAGCTGTCCGTCCACACAGTATTGCTCTGTCTTTCTGTGTGCACATGTTTCAGCTGTCCCCACAGTACTGCTCTGTCTTTCTGTGTGCACATGTTTCAGCTGTCCACACAGTATTGCTCTGTCTTTCTGTGTGCACATGTTTCAGCTGTCCACACAGTACTGCTCCGTCTTTCTGTATACACACATGTTTCAGCTGTCCATCCACACAGTATTGGTCTATCTTTCTGTGTGCACATGTTTCAGCTGTTTGTCCACACAGTATTGCTCTGTCTTTCAATGTGCCTCAAACATAGTTTCAGCTGTCCACACAATTTGCTCTGTCTTTCTATGTGCTTTTACTGTTTTCAAGCTGTCCACAACAAACTTCATCTGGCTTTTTTCCTTAGGGTATAATGAGCAATCTAGCTGGGCCGTGGCCACACAGTATTGCTTCTGTCTTTCTGTTGTGCACATAGTTTCATTTCAGCTGTCCCCACAGTATGAGCTCTGTCTTTCTATGTGCACAGTTGTTTCAGCTTCTCCCCACAGTAACTGCTGTCTTTCTGTGTACACATGTTTGGAGCTGTCCACACAGTATTGCCTCTGTCTAGTTTTCTGTGTGGACATGTTTCAACGCTTTTTTCGTAAAGGACATATAGGGCTGCTCTGTCTTTTCTGTGTGCAAGATGTTTCACAGCTGTCCCCACGGCTATTGCTCCGTCTTTTTATGTGCACATGTCAAGGCTGTCCACACAATATTGCTTTGTCTTTCTGTGTGCAGTCCATGTTTCAGCAGGGTCAAACCACAAACATTCCAATCTACTGCTGTCTTTCTGCTGTGCGACTCCTGATATAGTTTCACCTGTCCAACAAACTGTATTGCTCTGTCTTTCTGTGTGCACATGTGCCTCGCTGTCCGTCCATTACATTCAGTTTTGCATAATTCCGTCTTTCTCATGTGCACATGTTTCAGCCTTCCATCAACAATATTGCTGCTTGCATTGTCATGTGATGCACTGTCTTTCTGCTACTATGTGCACCATGTTTCAGCTGTCAAAAACATTGTATTGCTCAGTCTTTCTGTGTGCACATGTTTCAGCTGTCCTGAAGTTTTTGGGGGTTCTCAGTAACAGCAATAACAACAACAGTTATGAAACTGAATCTTTTCAGCATAAGTTGAAATGGAGGTGTATAAGTGCCCAATATACAAGACACAAATGAAACAGCATCAACAACAACAGTTATGTCTGACACAGAAATGGATACTGGGCATGAAGTGTACGTGTGTGCCTGTATGTATCATGCAAAACACTTACTTGATCATCATCCAGCATGGGTCCAGTGCTAGCAATACTCTCAGTGTCAGAGCTATCTGAAGGAGGTTTCAGAAATGCTGACCTATGACTGCCAGATGTTACCGAGTCACTGCGCCCACACAGTGAGTATCTGTCAGCAGACGGTGAGGATGGAGTCGGCGAGCTCACCTGGTGGCGGAGACTGGCGGTTGTAGAAGCTGGAAACGGTGAGAGTGGCAATCTGGTTGGGGAACTAGACGGGTAACTACGAGGTGATTTCAGTGAGGACGTTGGCAAGTGATATGAGGTACTCAAAGTTGAAGGTGCCGTTTTGGAATTATACTGGGATAGTTTAGTTACATTCATCATTTTGTTGAGGTGCTGGGATATTAAAGAAGTTGGTGGTTTAGCTGTCAATGATGCTGCTGACGACGTTAATGATGATGATGACAACGGCACAAGTGAGTGTGTTGCTGAGACAGGAGACATAGG